AACAGAGATCCCCTTAGGGCCCTCAGTGCCTGTTCTGGAGCCTTCCCCTGACTGCAGACCCTGAAGCCTGAAGGGTTGGGATATTAATCAAGACTCTAAGGGCAAGTGGCAGAACCCCCCGAAATCAGCTTATGTGGAAAGAGGTGCCTTGGAAGGAGAGCTGGTCAGTTACATGGCACGTGCTGGAGACCCCAGTTCCAGGGGTCTGGGAAGAGCAGGGGTGACGCCCCAGCTCTCTTGTGGTACCCCTGCTGCCTTCCCTCCCTCTCAGACTCAGCCCTGCTCTCTCTGTGGGTGGACTTTGATCACAAGACGGGAGCTCATTCCCTTAGAGATTCGAGGCTTTTCTCCATCAGTACCAGGGAGAAAAACCCACAGGAAGCACTCCGGTTGGCTCGCCTCGAGCACATCCCACGCAGGACCATGCTTGTCCCCACTTCAGAGTGGGGTCGTTGGTCTGCCCGGCCAGTGCGCTCGTGTGGACAGGGGTGAGGTCCCGGGGGTGGTTCTAACACGAGACAGCAACCATGCCTCCTAAAACCTGGCAATGGCTGGCCCACCAGGCATGTCCTGGTGTTTTCATGGTTTTATTGGTGGTATGGGGACGTATTCCAGCTGTTTGCTGATGTCTTCCTGATGGCTGTAGAGGAAGCCGTCCTCCTTGAGGAGGGATCAGAGTGGACACCGCGAAGGTCTGCAGTGTCTGTCACATGGCTTATGTTGGCAGGTGGCACAGTGGGCTTCCTGTCCCACTTGAGTTCATTAGTGGTTCATGGTCCGATGGCGTAGACCAGTGGTCTGGACTCGTGACATTCAGCTGTGGTCCTCGAGCCAGCAGCCTTTGAGCAAGGCAGAGAACACTCAAACGGAGAGCAGCAGCATGAATGACGCCAAAACTCTGATCTGCTGTCGGCGGGGCCATCCAGGTCGTTACACAACAACCCCTCAAACCACCGGCCCCGAATGGCCTGGACCTGATCCATGACTTCCTCCACATGACCACCCAGAGAAAGCGGTGGCGCTCACGGAAGGAAGCTCCTGGCATCTCCCTGTAAGGGTGTGGGAAGCAGAGCTGGAGAGACCCACCTTGGACTGGTGTGTCCCCAATACTCACTTAAAACAACTACATACATTTATTGGGGCACCTGGGTGGCTTAGTTGGTCAAGCAGCTGCCTTCGGTTCGGGTCATGATCTCAGGGTCCTGGGATTGAGCTCCACATCGGGCTCCCTGCTCAGTGGGGAGTCTGCTTCCCCCTCTCCCACTCCCCCTGCTTGTGCTCTCTCTTTCTCTCGAATAAATAAATAAAATCTTAAACCATAGATTTATAATCTTACCAGTTCTGGAGGTGAGAAGTCCACACTGGGTCTCACTGGGCTAAAATCGGGGTGCTGGCAGTGATGTGTGCCTTCTGGGGGCTCTCTGAATCTCTTTCCTTACCTCTTCCAGCTTCCAGAAGGCACCACATCCCTTGACTGTGGTCTCTCTCCTCCATCTTCAAAGCCCTTCCTATCTCTGGTTCTCCCTCTGCCACTTATATGGATATTTGGGATTATACTGGGCTCTGTGATCGTTAATTTTATGTGTCAACTTGGCTGGGCCACATGCCTACATATATGGTCAAACATTACCCTGGATGTTTCCATGAGGGTGTTTTTGATGAGATTTATGTTCAGATTGGTGTACTTGGAGTGAAGCAAATTGTTCTCCATAATGTGGGTGGGCCTCATTCAATCAGTTGAAGGCCTGATTAGAACAAAGGCACTGATCTCTCCTAAGCAAGAGGGACCTCTTCCAGCAGATGGCCTTCAGGTTTGAACGGCAACACCACTCCGGCCTGGATCTCCAGGCTGCTCCCTGCTCTGCAGATCTGAGGCGCGTCCACCTCCACAATCCTGGGAGCCAAGTCCTTAAAATAAATCTCTCCCTCTATGCACCACCTATTGGCTCTGTTTCTCTGGAGAACCCGAATACGGGACCACATGGATAATCCAGGGTAATCTCTCCATCTAAATTCAGATGATTAGCAAGCTTAATTCCATCTACAACCACAGTTACCCTCTGCCATATAACAGAAAATACTTAGGTTATAGGCCTGGGCACACAGGTGTATCTCTGGGGGACCATTATTCCGTAGACAACAATGCCTTTTGTGCATTTCTGATTGAATTGCTTGTTTCTTTTACTGTTGAATTTTGAGACTTCTTTATATATTTATTCTAAAGATTTTATTTATTTATTTGAGAGAGAGAGAATGAGAGACAGAGAGCATGAGAGGGAGGAGGGTCAGAGGGAGAAGCAG